GACGACAGCTCCGCCGGCGGCTGCATAACCAAAGGCGACGCCGCCAACTGCCTAACCGGCCAACGCCATCCCAAGCGCCACACCCGCCAAAGCCAATGTCAACGCCGCCACACCTGCCACTGTTGCCAGACCCGCCGCCAACGCTTTTCACCACCCGTTGCTGCCCGCATCGCCAGCATTGCTGCCACAAGCGTCGTCACCGCCACCACCGCTGTCGCATTCGCCGCCACCACCTGCACCGCTACACCTGCCACACCGGCTAATAACGCCACCATCACCGCCGCCGACGCCACTGCAGCCATAACGGCCGCAAACGTCACACCCGCCGCCACCTCCAAACCCGCCAACGCCTCACCTGCCACCGCCGCTAACGACGCCACCGCCACCGCCACCGCCACCGCCACCGCCATCATCACCGCCACCGCCACCGTCACCATCACCGCCACCGCAACCGCCACCGCCACCGTCACCGCCACCGCCACCGCCACCGCCACCCCCACCGCCACCGCCACCGCCACCGCCACCGCCACCGCCACCGCCACCGCCACCGCCACCGCCACCGCCACCGCCACCGCCACCGCCACCGCCACCGCCACCGCCACCGCCATCGCCACCGCCACCGCCATCGCCATCGCCACCGCCACCGTCACCGCAACCGCAGCCACACCCGCCGCCAACGACACACCCGCCAACGCCAACTCCAACGCAGCAAACGCAATTGCAACCACACCCGTCACTTATGCCGACGCAACCGCCGCAGCCGTCACACCCGCCGCAAACGACGCATCCGCCACTGTCGCTGCCACCGCCGCCTGCGCCACCGCAGCCACAGCCACCACAACGGCAACAACCGATGCCACTGCAATACCAGCAAACGCCAACGCCAAATCGTAAGCCAACGCAGCCATCAACACCGCCGCCACAACCGTAACCCCCGCATCGGCAGTTGAGGTGACGTATGGCGTATGATAATCCATGGACGGATGGGGGAAGAAGACGACAGCTCCGCCGGCGGCGGCATCACCAAAGGCGACGCCGCCGCCGCTGTTGCCGCATCGGCGGCAGTTGAAGTGACGTGTGGAGGAGGATGATCAATGGACGGATGGGGGAAGAAGACGAAAGCTCCGCCGGCGGCGGCATCACCAAAGGCGACGCCGCCGCCACTGTTGCCGCATCGGCGGCAGTTGAAGTGACGTGTGGAGGAGGATGATCAATGGACGGATGGGGGAAGAAGACGAAAGCTCCGCCGGCGGCGGCATCACCAAAGGCGACGCCGCCGCCGCTGTTGCCGCATCGGCGGCAGTTGAAGTAACGTGTGGAGGAGGATGATCAATGGACGGATGGGGGAAGAAGACGACAGCTCCGCCGACGAAGCCATCAACACCGCCGCCACAACTGTTGCCCCCGCATCGGCAGTTGAGGTGACGTATGGAGGAGGATAATCCATGGACGGATGGGGGAAGAAGACGACAGCTCCGCCGGCGGCGGCATCACCAAAGGCGACGCCGCCGCCGCTGTTGCCGCATCGGCGGCAGTTGAAGTAACGTGTGGAGGAGGATGATCAATGGACGGATGGGGGAAGATGATGAAAGCTCCGCCGGCGGCGGCATCACCAGAGGCGACGCCGCCGCCGCTGTTGCCGCATCGGCGGCAGTTGAAGTGACGTGTGGAGGAGGATGATCAATGGACGGATGGGGGAAGAAGACGACAGCTCCGCCGGCGGCGGCATCACCAAAGGCGACGCCGCCGCCGCTGTTGCCGCATCGGCGGCAGTTGAAGTGACGTGTGGAGGAGGATGATCAATGGACGGATGGGGGAAGAAGACGAAAGCTCCGCCGGCGGCGGCATCACCAAAGGCGACGCCGCCGCCGCTGTTGCCGCAACGGCGGCAGTTGAAGTGACGTGTGGAGGAGGATGATCAATGGACGGATGGGGGAAGAAGACGACAGCTCCGCCGGCGGCTGCATAACCAAAGGCGACGCCGCCAACTGCCTAACCGGCCAACGCCATCCCAAGCGCCACACCCGCCAAAGCCAATGTCAACGCCGCCACACCTGCCACTGTTGCCAGACCCGCCGCCAACGCTTTTCACCACCCGTTGCTGCCCGCATCGCCAGCATTGCTGCCACAAGCGTCGTCACCGCCACCACCGCTGTCGCATTCGCCGCCACCACCTGCACCGCTACACCTGCCACACCGGCTAATAACGCAACCATCACCGCCGCCGACGCCACTGCAGCCATAACGGCCGCAAACGTCACACCCGCCGCCACCTCCAAACCCGCCAACGCCACACCTGCCAACGCCGCTAACGCCGCCACCGCCACCGCCACCGCCACCGCCACCGCCACCGCCATCATCACCGCCATCATCATGGCCACCGCCACCGTCACCGCCACCGCCACCGTCACCGCCACCGCCACCGCCACCGCCACCGTCACCGCCACCGCCACCGCCACCGCCACCGCCACTGCCACCACCACCGCCTC